CGTCACTAATTGTGACGGAGAAAATAATCCGTCACTAAATATTTTGTGACGCCAAATTTTGTGACGGAATCATTTCCGTTACAAATTCCGTCACTAACTTATTTGTGACGGATTTTATGAAGTTTAGTGACGGATTTTTTCCCTCTCTAATTTTAATTTTTCTAGTAGTGACTACTATTATTAAAATAAGGAACCAAGGTATCAGACAAAGCCTAGGAGGAATAATCAAGGCAAGACATGACTAGACAAGTCAAGGCAGATAAAGTAAGTAATATAGGAAACCGAGCAGAATAGATGGAACACAAGTATGCACCAAATGATCATACAATACTCAGACAAAGAAACGTCTAGTACAACTATCATTAAGCATAAATCAGATAAGGCATATGTCTAAGGTCAAAAGAAAGTCAACCATGCATCAGACGAAAGACAACACAGACTGAGAGACATTCCAGATGGAAATAATGTTTGTCTATTCACATAGTTAATAAGACCAATGAAAATTCAAAGCATTAAACTCAGATGTTGAAGCAAAAGTCAAATCCCATATGTAGAGGACCAACAGACGAAGATGAAGACTGCCACGCAAGCAAAATCACGTCTTAGGAAACAAGTCAAGATATTGTCTATGAACACACCAAAGCTTTCAATGTAAAACACATACGAAAGAATGAAGGAAAAGAGAAGTACGCAAATCAACTTTACTTTTTATCCCAAGTGGTCTACCTTTATGAACAAGACTTGTATTCTCCATAAAAAATGAATCAATGCCATCATCATTTCTCCTAGGCCGATTAAAAGTAGTTTCTATTCTAGAGAGATACCGTGAACAAAATAATAGGCATTCATGAGCTAAATATCCCTTTGCAATTGATCCCTCTGGATGTGCTCGATTATGAACAAAAGACTTTAGAGTAAGGAGAAACCTAAAAGTATAAGTTAAATTTATAGAATAAGAAATAACATTTTATTGTATAATTTTAAATTACAATCAAATGAGTGAAAAATAAATTTAATACCTCTCAATTGGATACATCCATCGGTAATGTACCGGGCCTCCAACTTTTGCTTCATATGCCAAATGGATAACAAGATGTACCATTACAGTGAAAAAAGATGGAGGAAATATCTTTTCTAATTGGCACAATGTCTTAGCTATTTGATGCTCTAAACACTCTAACTTACGCACACTAAGCACCTTCCCACATATTTCTTTGAAAAAATGACAAAAATCGGATATAACTAAACCCACTTTGTCAGGTAAATGACCTTTTATAGCTATAGGGAGAAACTCTTGCATTAAAAGATGACAATCAAGACTTTTGAGACCATTTATTTTGTGTTGCTTCACTTGCACACATCTTGAAATATTGGATGTATATTCATCTGAAGCTTTTATTTCTTTAAGCACTTCCAAAAATGTTTCCTTCTCTTTTGAAGTTATTTGGTAACAAGCTCTAGGTAAATAACATTTATCCCTAGTTTGATGCAATTTTGGATGTAGTTGACTTCTTATGTTCATGTCGACAAGGTCATAACGTGCCTTATCATTATCTTTTGATTTCCCTTCTAAGTTTAATAACGTTCCAACAATATTATCACAAACATTTTTTTCAATGTGCATTACATCAAGATTGTGACGAAGAACATTATATTTCCAATAAGGCAATTTGAAAATGATGTTTTTCTTCTTCCATGGTGACCCATCCCCAATTTCATTCTCTGAAGAGTTTTCAAGTTCTTCTAATTGTCTTAAAACAATAGTTCCATCAAGTGGCCTAGGTGGAGCTCTAAACTCTTGACTTCCATCAAAATTTCCTTTATTGTACCTCCACTTATGATCTGGCTCTAACCGATGAAGATGACACATATAGCAAAATTTTTT